AAGAGGAGAGGAAAAGACAAAGCTTTAATTGTTATACAAAGTTATAGTTTTTCAGAAAAGGAACTTTTAACTTACAATAGTTTAAAATACTGAGTCTATAAAGAAGCGATGAAATGTGCTAAAATTTTGTGGAAGTTTGACTTTGTTTTGATGGATTTGTTCATGAGAAAAAAAATTGTGAAATTTTACTACCAATAGCACATTAATGCAAAACTAGAATCTAGCTCTGTCTCTATTACAATGATAAATTGCAGAGGGATACAAAAACAGATCAATGAAATAAAATATACAACACAGAAATAAATATCAACAAGTATTTCTAATTAATTTTTGACAAAGAATCAAAAGCAATTCAATGGGAGAAGAATAGCCTTTTCAATAGATGGTGCTGGATAAACTGGGTATCCATTGGCAAAAAAAAAAAAAAAAGAACCTTGACCTAAACTTCACACCTTATATTAAAATTAATTCAAAATAGATAATGGACATAAATGTAAAATATAAAACTACAAACTTCTAAAAAAGAATACAGGAAAAAAATCTTTGGGACCTAGGTAAGACTAATCAAAGTTTTTAGAATTAATATCAAATAACATGATGAATAAAAGAAAACTTGATAAATTGGACCTCAACAAAATAAATTTTTTGGTTTTTTTTTTGAGACAGAGTCTCACTTTGTTGCCCAGGCTAGAGTGAGTGCCGTGGCCTCAGTCTAGCTCACAGCAACCTCAACTCCTGGGCTCAAGCAATCCTCCTGCCTCAGCCTCCGAGTAGCTGGGACTGCAGGCATGCGCCACCATGCCCGGCTAATCTTTTCTATATGTATTAGTTGGCCAATGAATTTCTTTTTATTTATAGTAGAGACGGGGTCTCGCTCTTGCTCAGGCAGGTTTCGAACTCCTGACCTCGAGCAATCTGCCCACCTTGGCTTCCCAGAGTGCTAGGATTACAGACATGAGGCACCGCACCCGGCTTCATGATTCTATCTTAATCTCTTCTGACAAGTTGTTTTGATTTGGTCTTCCCATGAAAGGGTTCCATATATAGAAAAATAAAATAAAATTTTTAGGATAGCTTCTTCATGTTTCATATTTAACACTATTGTGAGGCTGAATGGGAAGAACTGTCAATTCAGAAGAGACACTCGCCTTTCCTAGGTTATATTTGTATAAATAACATGGTATTAATGTAAATATTTCAAAAATTATACAATTTATGGAAAAGAACTGAAGACTTGCAATGCCATAACTGTTAAATATTTTCTTAAGCTCAGGGGAAAACATTGAAAACATTGACCAAACTCTTATAGAAATAGTTCTGGCCTGGCTCAGTGGCTAACGCCTGTAATCCTAGCACTCTGGTAGGCTGAGGCAGGAGGATCGTTTGAGCTCAGGAGTTCGAGACTAGCCTGAGCAAGAGCGAGACCCCGTCTCTACTAAAAATAGAAATAAAGTAGCTAGACAACTAAAAATATATATAGAAAAAGTTAGCTGGGCATGGTGGCACATGCTTGTAGTCCCAGCTACTCAGGAGACTGAGGTACAAGGATTGTTTGAGCCCAGGAGTTTGAGGTTGCTGTGAGTTAGGCTGACGCCATGGCATTCTAGCATGGGCAACAGAGTGAGAGAAAGAAAGGGGGGGGGGGTAGAGAGGAAGAAAGAGAGAGGGAGAAAGAAAGAGAAAGAGAGAGAAAGAAAGAAAGAGAGCAAGAAAGAGAAAGAGAGAGCAAGAGAAAGAGAGAAAGAAAAAGAGAGATAAAGAGAGAGAGAGAGAGAAAGAGAGAAAAAGAAATAGTTCTGTAACGTGTGCCAATAGAGAATTTTACTCTCTGCCATTCTAATATTGGTGACTGTAATAAATTCACTGTACCCTTTCAGTCTCATTATCAAATATGTTTCCGCTTCTTGGTGTATGCTTAAAGTCTCTGCTATAAGGTATTGCCTGAAATTTGTGTTTACAACAAAGGAGAACAGTCCTAGAGGCTTGTGGATAGGACTATATCAGGTACTCTTAACTATTAATACTTAACAGAGAATAGACCCTTGGTTATAGGCCTCTGAACTAATATTGCTTAGACAGGTTTCAGGCTTAAATGAATGGAATGAGTCAGAGTTTCCTGGACCCTTTATACTCCAGAAATAGATGTATCTCATGAAGGCAGACTGCTCGTCCAAGATGAAATTGACACACATGAAACAAGAATTAATTGCATATACATGGATGAACTGATGACCCAAGCAGTAAATCTCAGTAGGCAGGGCCACTGCAGAGTCTCCCACTAGGGCAATGCCTAGCAGAGCCACGAGTATGGGGTCATACCCAAGAGTCCAGATCAGTAAAGTCCCATGGCTCCACTAGGCATTGCTCTAGTGGAAGCTTTCTGTGATAGCCTCACCCTGAGAGTAGCGCTCTATCTAGATCCTGTGCCTGAGGCTTCAGGGGGCTCTATCCTTTGAAATCTAGGTGGAGGCAGCCATGCCTTCACAGCTGTGCTCTCTGCCAGCCAGTGGAGATGGCACCGTGCAAACACTGCCCATGTTTACCGCCTATGTCCTCCAGAAGGATAGCCATTGGGGCCCTTACCACACCTGGGCTCCTAACATGTTATAATCAACCTCTCAAAATTCAAAGACAAAGAGAATTTTGAAAACAGCAAGAAAAAATCAACTGGTCACACACCAGGGAACCTCCATAAGATATGAGCAGATTTCTCAGCAAACACCTTTTGGGCCAGAAGAAAGTGGGATGAAAAAAACAAACTGCCAACAAAAAATACTAAACAGTTGGCTGGGTGAGATGGCTCACGCCTGTAATCCTAGCACTCTGGGAGGCCGAGGCAGGAGGATTGCTTGAGCTCAGAAGTTCGAGAGCAGCCTGAGCAAGAGTGAGATCCCATCTCTACTCAAAATAGAAAAAATTAGCTGGGTGTCATGGTGCGTGCCTGTAGTCCCAGCTACTTGGGAGGCTGAGGCAGGAGGAGAGCTTGAGCACAGGAGTTCATGGTTGCAGTGAGCTACGATGACGCCACTGCACTCTACTCAGGGTGACAGAGTGAGACTCTATCTCAAAAAAAAATACTACACAGTCATGTGCTGCATAATGATGTTTCCATCAACAATGGACTGCATATATGGCAGTGGTCCTATAAGATCATAAAGGAGCTTAAAAAAATCCTATCACCTAATGATGTTGCAGCCATCCTAACATCATAGAGCAATGCATTACTCACGTGTTTGTCATGATGCTGGTGTAAACAAATCTACCGTACTACCACTCATATTAAAAGTATAACATGGCCAGGTGCGGTGGCTCATGCCTGTAATCCTAGCAGACTGGGAGGCCAAGGTGGATGGATCATTTGAGCTCAGGAGTTCAAGACCAGCCTGAGCAAGAGGGAGACCCCGTCTCTACTAAAAAAAATAGAAAAAAATTAGCTGGACAACTAAAAATATACAGAAAAAATTAGCTGGGCATGGCAGTGCACACCTGTAGTCCCAGCTACTTGGGAGGCTAAGGCAGTAAGATTGCTTGAGCCCAGGAGTTTGAAGTTGCTGTGAGCTAGGCAAACAACATGGTACTCTAGCCCGGGCACCAGAATAAGACTCTGTCTCAAAAAAAAAAAAAAAAAGTATACACATACAGTTATGTACAGTCCATAATACTTGATAATGATAATAAACAACTACGTTACTGGTGTATTTCCTACACCATGCCTTTTCAATATCCTGTTACAATTCTTTTTTTTTTTTTTTTTGATACAGGGTCTCACTCTGCTGCCTGGGCTAGAGTACAGTGACTTGATCATAGTTTACTGCAACCTCCAACGCCTGGACTCAAGCGATCTCCCTGCCTCAGCCTCCCAAGTAGCTGGGACTAAAGGTGTGCACCACCACACCTGGCTAAATTTTTTATTTTTGGTGGATACCAGGTCTCACTATGTTGCCCAGGCTGGTCTTCAACTCCTAGGATCAAGCAATCCTCCTGTCCCTGCCTCCCAAAGTCCTAGGATTACAGGTGTGAGCCACTGTGCCTGGCCCTCTTTTGCTTTTTGTCTGTGCATTCACATAGAGATGTGTGGGTAGCTAGTGCTAAATTTTGTCTCTGCTATGCATGTGCATAGAATATGTGGAATTGCTTATCCAGTCCATTCTGGCTGTCTCACTTTCCGGAATTCCCTGTTAAATCCCCTGCTCGTCTGATATTCTGTTGCCTGCACCAAACAGTCCTGCAAACTCAGGCTAGCAGCACTTCTTGTCTGCGTGCCAGAGAGATCACTACAGCTGACCTCTGAACAATGCAGGAATTAGGGGCAACAACCCCCTGCGCAAAAATCTGCAAATAATTTCTTGACTCTGCAAATCTTTTTTTAAACATTATTTGTTTTATTGACGTACTAAGCTTAGACCTGTGTTTAACAAGCAAGCCTAATAATAGCACCATGGTTAGGCTCCAAGCCATCATTTTACAATTTATTAAGCAAACAAGGAATGAAGTTATCTCTCATCCATCAATCTAATGTGATCTTTTTATACACACACTAGTGAGTCCCATTTGGTACAGTCAAAAATCTTTTAGTAAAACCTTTAGAGATGAGCTCATGAACTCAGTTTAAATTTCACTAGTTAAATTAGGTCAAATAAAAGGAACTCAAATAAGTAGTTGCTCAGTCAGAACTCATTATTTGTAAGTCATCAGTCCCCCTAACCTTAAAACTTTTCTTTGACTCAATTATTGAAAACCTACATATAGCAAAGTGAAAAGATTAATTTCCATTCTTCAACCTCTCAGTCCCAGGTTTTCAAAGAAAAACCTAGACTCCTTCTAAAATCAGATAGGAAAATTAAAGCCTGGATAGTTGTGAATCAAATTTGTTCCACTACAACCATGTTGCAAACAATTACAGCAATTGGTTCAGTATACACTCTAGAACTGACCAGGACAAAGTTTAGCATAGAACCTGTAAGAAATAGGTTCCTAACTAAAGAAGTTTCGAAGTTCAAAAGGGTATGAAAAAAACTAATTTGAGACTTGCCCCTGCTTTATTTTCCCAAGAAATAGACTTTCTGTAAAAATATATAGTATTTTTACAGACAAATACATTTACAAGTTGTTTTTGTCCTAAAAACTGAGGATATTCCATATCTGTAACAAATTATTAAGCCTTAAGTCAAGTATTCTTGACCAGTACTAGGCTAATTAAACTAAGAATCATTCAAACCAAGCCAACATAAGATAGGTATAAAAGTCCTGAACATTCACCCAAGTCCATGAATTAATTTGTGGGGATATTTAATGAATTCTATGACTAGCCTGGCTACTGGCCACTCTCCTGTTCTCAACAAGGATATAGGTTTTTCCACCCCATCTTCACTAAATCTAAAAGTCCTCCTCCGTGGCCTCCCAAAGTTTGCTTGTTGCTGAAACTGAACTTTTCTTCTTCCAGACAGTGACCCTTCAATCAAGGGGGACTACTTTTCCTATTTATTTATTCTTGTTAGCCATAATCCTCTTGCCACTTGCTTTTCTGGCTATGTTGCTAGCGTGGAACCCTTGGAGGTCACAGCCTGGGCAGCTTTAAGTTCGACTTCATTAATGCATTTGATTTGACAGATGTACGTGGTTCTGGTGGCTGTTGCTGGTTAGAAGTCAAAAACTGCACTTAAAGGCTCTTATTACATATGCCAAAGCAGCTCCTACTCCAGCAAAGAGTAAAAAAGCCAGCAGAACACTTCTGAGGCTGCCTTCTAGATCCTCTAAGTAGAAGAACTCCACGAACCCATCCCAGCCGCTTTGTTTCACTAGCCAGTCTCGTTTTGACCTTACAATAATGCCTGTGATACTTTCTGCTAATAGGTCGATGCAGCTTTCCAGGTTTATGCTCTTCAAGTGTTTGGCCACAAAGGCACCAAAAGAAATTAGAGTCACAATCCTGCACCAGTTTGTTACGCTGTCATTGAAAACGTGGACCATAATTGGAGACAACGATTTGACATCATCTTCGTTTTTTATGTCCAGTTTCCGAAGCATGCCTTGGAAGGCCATCTCGTGTTTGCGCTGAATACCGCCCCCGACCCGTCGTAAGGTCTCTAGTGCCTTCCTGCTGGTGGCCCCAGACTTGCCCATTGGCTTTGCATCCTTGGTGCCGGTTGCCTGCTCCCGAAAGTATCGAGAGATAATCTCCAGAGACTGCCAGTACAACTCGTCGTCCTCCTCCTGTGCTGGGGGTGGCATCGAGGGTAGTGAACCATCCGTGCTGGGGCCATTACTGGCCTCTCCGACCAACTCCAGCAAGGGCTGGCTGGCCGCTGGCATCCTGAGAGGCTCCGGCTCACACCCCTCCACCTCATCTTCGGGCGACACAATGGCGTCGGCGGCTGAGGCTTCCATCCCCTCAGGCTGCAACATGCGACGAGTGGGCGGGAAGAACAGCAGCCTCCCAGGGGTGGTGGTGACATCGGTGACCTCGGCACCAATGGGTGCCGGCCGCACAACCCTCCAGGCATCTGGCGTGAGGGAGACGCTGGGGCTTCCTCTGGGACTTCCATCAATCACTGCGCGGGCTTCCCCTCCCCCTACATCTTGGCGGGCCGTAGCCTCCTGTGTAGCCAAAAGCTGCCCTCCCGGGGGGACAGCGTCGCCACTGCCGGCCCCCAACCCAGCCTTCCCACCATTGAGGCTGGGTTTCATTACCGTGTTTCCTTTGAGGCCAAACATAGCAAGCCGTCCACACCTGAGTGAGAAAGGAACGCGTGAAGAGACGACTCCTTACTTGACGGAAGCGGAAGTAAGAGCGGAAATGCGTGGAGAGGAGCTCCCCATCACGTTTTAGGGCGGGGCCTACAGGCAACGCTGCGAATCTTACTAATAGCCAATTGTTGACTGGAAGTCTTCCAATAACTTACACAGTTGATTAACACATATTTTAAGTTATATGTATTACATACTGTATTCTTATAATAAAGTAAGCTAGAGAAAAGAAATGTTATTAAGAAAGTCGTGCCTGTAATCCTAGCGCTCTGGGAGGCCGAGGCGGCTGGATCATTTGAGCTCAGGAGTTCGAGACCGGCCTGAGTAAAACCGAGACCCCAGTCTCTACCAAAAATAGAAAAAAAAATAGCTGGGCATGGTGGCGCATGCCTGTAGTCCCAGCTACCTGGAAGGCAGAGGCAAGAGGATTGCTTGAGCCTAGGAGTTTGAGGTTGCTGTGAGCTAGGCTGACACCACGGCACTCTAGCCCAGGCAACAAAGTGAGACTCTGTCTCAAAAAAAAAGAAAAAAAAAAAGAAAAATCATAAGGAAGTGAATATATGTTTAGTATTCATTAAGTGGAAGTGGGTCTTCATAATGGTCTTCAACCTCATCATCTTCCACATTGAGCAGGCTGAGGAGAAAGAAGAGGAGGGGTTGGTCTTGCTGTCTCAGGGGTGGCAGAGTTGAAACAAAATCTGCAAATAAATGGATCTGCGCAGTTCAAATCTGTGATGTTCAAGGGTCAACTGTACTTTAACTGACAATGCTCCAAATTAACTAAGTTCCTTGCAGCAGCAGCAGCAGCAGAGCCCTTACCTCTACCTGGGGGAAGAGTAGAGGGAAGATGGTGAATGGACAATTGGGGCAGGCCCATGTAAGAACACCACAGACTTACTCATTTCGTACCCAAGTTATACAGTTTAAATGTTTTTCCCCTCCAAATCTCATGTTGAAATTTGATCCTCAATGTTGAATGTGGGGCCTGGTGGGAGGTGTTTGGGTCATGAGGGTGGATCACTCATGAATGGCTTGGTGCCCTCCCTGGAATAATGAGTAAGTTCTGACTTTATTAGTTCATGTGAGAGAAAGTTGTTTATTTTTTATTTTTATTTTTTTTGAGACAGAGTCTCACTCTGTTTCCTGGGCTAGAGTGCCGTGGCATCAGCCTAGCTCACAGCAACCTCAAACTCCTGGGCTCAAGCGATCCTCGTGCCTCAGCCTCCCGAGTAGCTGGGACTACAGGCATGTGCCACCATGCCCAGCTAATTTTTTTTCTATATATTTTTAGCTGTCCAAGAGAAAGTTGTTTAAAAGAGCCTGGCACCCCCCCTCCTCTCTCTCTTGCTCCCTCTCTCGCTATGTGACACACCTACTCCTCATGAGTAGAGGCTTCCTGAGGCCCTCATCAGAAGTAGATGTCAGTGCCATGTTTCTCGTAGCCTGCAGAACTATGAGCCAAAAAAGCTCTTTTCTTTATAAATTACCTAGCCTCAGGTACTCCTTTATAGCTGCACAAAACAGACTAATACACCAAGGTTCAGAAGTTCTGTTTGTTGAATCCTTGGGTCAATTTCCAGAATGCTAAAATGGTTGTTTTTGACAAATTGTCCAGCTTTTTAGTTGCTATGCACATAGGTATAAATTTCCCAAACTTGGGCATTTATTTACTCAAATACGGGAGGATTACCTCCATGAAGGTCGAAAAAACTTTTCAATGGAGGGAGATAACAATCTGTCAGTCCTTGACCACCATCAGTGCAAGAATCAACAGTAGAGTGGGGGGGGGGCTGTGGGCAGGGGAGGAAGGCGGCTGGCAGTCCCTCCAGCATCTCCGCTGCTGCCTGTTCGGCTTGTGTTGCTGCCGCAGGCGCTGCTGGGCCACTTGGCCAATGGGGCAAGACCGTGAGGCGCGCAAGGAATCGGGGCGGCCGCCATGTTTGGCTGCTCACAGAGCTGGGTGGGAGGGGGCCATGGCAAGTCCTCCTGTAACATCCACTCTTTAGACCACCTCAAGTAAGTGTGTTGAGGGTGCAGGAGGGAGACCGTGAGGCTGGGCATGGCGAAGGGGTTGCATAGCCCTGGGCCGGGGCCGCTGGGAGGTGGAGAGTGAAGGTGGGGGGCGGAAAGGGGCTCGCGGGGAAGGAAGGCTGTAGATTGGTTAAGAGCGAGGGCTCTGGAGTCAGCTCGCCTCGGTTCGAACTCTGACCCCATCGCTCTTGGCTGTGGGACCTTGGACAAGTCGATTAGTTTCTTAAGAGTCTCAATATCCCCACCTGTAAAGTAAGGGGATGCGATTTCAGTTTATGAACGCGGACTTTGCTTTTGCTGGGGACTGACGGTGGCCACCAAGCCTCCCAGGGTGGTACTTCTTAGACTGGAAAGTTCAGGGGACAAAGGCCTGAGTCCCAGAGTTGGGCAGATCCTGGTTTGAATCTCGGTGTGTGAATTTAGACCTCAGTTTCTTTTTTTAAAAATTCAATGTGATATTTATTGCAACTTATTATTGCCAACTACTATTCTAAGTAGCAGGAAAAAAATCCTATATTCACAGATAACAGTATAGTGGATTATGTAGACCTCAGTTTCTTCACTTGTAAAATGGGTAGTGTGACAGCACCTGCTTCCTGCAAGTGTTTTGAGGGTTGATTGGATAAGAGAATGAACATAAAGCTCAGAACATGTATTAATGCTCAATAAGGAGCAATAATTAAAGGAACAAAGTATTTTCTGGGGGGAGTCTAAGCAGGGAGTAATCAGAAGTAGAGCTCTGTAGGAGGACGTGTGGCAAACAGGGCCCCTGGGAAGCAGGAGTGCACAGAGATTGAGACTGGCCTTGCAGTCAGACCTGCCTTCAAATCTAACTCCACCACTTAGTGGCTGTGTGACCTTTGACAAATTACTTCACCTCTCTAAGCCTCCAGTTTCCCATCTGCAAGAGGAGATGATGAACATGGTACAGGATTCAGTAATGTCATGCTATGTTTATCACTTCGGCAAGGCCTTCCCAGACCACCCTACCTAAAGTGCTCCTCTCATCCCAATTCCTTTCTGCCAGATCTTTCTCTTGATTTCATTCAGTGCATCTCCACTATCTGTGATTATCCTGTTCATTTCTACTTCTTTTCTGTCTCCTATTAAACTGGTACTTCCAGGGGGATAGAGACTGCTTGGTTTGTTCACAGCTGTATTCCCAGCATCTAGCACTGTGCCCGGCACACAGTAGGAGCTCAGTGGATACTTAAAAAATGAAAAAATGAATCAATGAACTGGGGAGAGGTTCAGAGCATGCAGACTGAGACCCAGGTTTGGGGTGGGCAGGTGGGGAGGGTGATGAAAAATAGAGACCTTTGAAGAGGAAATGACTTCAGGGAGGAAGTGGCATTTAATAAATGTTTGTGAGTCTCAAAGAGTAGGGGGCTGAAGGGTTCATTATGTGGTGAGGGATGGTTTTGGGGGGAGGTGGTAAGAGAAGACAAGGAGAGGAAAGAGGCCCATCATAAGGTTCGGGATGGAGAAGGAAGCAGGAATTTTGAATGGGAGGGCAGCTGGCAGGGAAAGGGAGAGACTTAAGGATTTCAAGAATTTATGAGTGGGCGGATGTGGCAAGGAGGGGAGGATGGTTATCCAGAGGAGGCTGGGCCTCCTGCCAGCACCCAGGTACTTGTAGGCTCTCACCTAACTCTACCTGACTCTAGCCCTTTTGAATTACTTTAATAGTTATTGAATGCTTTATTCTGTGCAGGGTACTTGCTAAGGACTTCCTGTGTATTATTTCCATTTGTCCTCTAACATCTATGAGTTAATAGGAACTATTCTTGTTTCCATTTTATAGAAGTGGAAACTAAGGTTCAAGGTGCTTAAGTCACTTGCCTCCAGGTAACAACAGCTAAAGAGTGTCTATAGAGCTTGCACTGTCTTTCTGAATAAAACTTCCTCATAGGTCAGTTCCTGAGTCACTTTTGACTCAGCTAAGCCTCATCACCAATGGGGCATCTTTGCCACCTGGCCAGCCAGGGAATGGTAAAGGTTCTCGGGTTCCTTTGCCATATCCTGGGAACTGCCCAGGTTCATTGTTTAGGTCATGTGTCTGTCAGGTGCTTCTTTGGAAACCCGAACTGCCTGCCCTGGATCAGGCAGATCAGCTTAATCCATATTATAGCTAGAAGAACTTGTGATTCATGCATTGGTGGGGGGCTTAGAAGATTCCCAGGTGACTTGTAAAAGAGTGACATAAAAGCTAGTGCCCACAGTAATGCTTGTGCTGCTCTTCATTTGACTCTGCTAGTAAACATGTAGGGTCTAGGGTACAGAACAGCTCATTCCCTGAGAGTTTATAAGCTGGTGGGGGAGACGGCCATAGAGCCAGTGGCTGTGCAGTGTGACAAGTGCTGGGATCACTGTAAGCCCAGGGGTCTGTGGGAACCCTCCTTGGACAGGTAGGAGCCACCCTATGGGATCGTGGGGTGAAGGAGGGAGAACACCATAATCAGGACCCTAGGGTCTGTGGCCTGTGGGGGTGGTGGTGGTGAGCGTGGTAGCTGTGAGAAACAAGGCTAAAGGTAGGAAGGAGCTTGGGATTTATCTGACATTTAGGGTGACCAACCATCCAGGTTTGCCTGGGACATGGAACTTTCAGTGCTAAAACTGAGAAAGTCCTTAGCAAACCAGTAACCAGTACAAACTGGTCAGCAGTGACAAGTGACAGTTTCTAATATACTCTTGCCTTGACCTAGGGCAGTATGGGTAGAGAGGAGAGGTTAAGATATTTAAGCAAATTTAGAATCAATAATAATAATTTTTTTTTTTTTAACACACAAAGCCTCTGATCTGGGAACCCTCCTCTTCTAATAGACTTAATTTTTTTTTAGAACACTTTGAGATTTACAGAAAGATTGAGAAGATAGTACAGGAAACTAGAAACCCTTTTTAAAACCCCATTATTCTTCATAATACTCCCAGCTTGCAAACCGGAAAGGAATTTTCCTGTTAGGGTTTTGCTTTTGCTA